TGTTTCTCTATTTTTTGTTATGTGGAGAAGGCAAGTTTCTGAGGATGTTTTTGGGGCCCATTAACGTTCGGGCGAACAGGAAGGACTTGAAATTGAAAGTGAAAGAGGAGTACAACAATATCAGAGTACGATATCATCTGCAAAACGTCAACTTAATGTTTGCTTTTATTGTGTATATATTGCTGCACAATTTTACTTAGCCCCCCTGTTTGGCCCCCATTAAAATTCTTCTTTCTTCTTTCATGAATTTTAAAGATTATTTATGATTCATTATGCTTTTTTTTTCTTTTAATAGTTTTTTTGATCATTTTTTAAAACGGTTAGGCTTACACTTTATGCCTCGCCTTGTGAAGTTAAATGTCTAAGTACCGGACTACGCCTTTTTAACATTGAATCAATTTCATTACATTTTTATGAATGCAATAGTAAGATACTTGGTTACTACTTCGTACAGCACATCTAGCCTGGACTACCTGCCACATAGAGCTATCAAGTTTCTAATATTAAATCGCATGAAAAGAATGTGATGTTAGGTGAAAAATAGGATGTACCTAATTATCAATTAAGTAGGGAAACATTTGAATTTGTATGAGGTTCTGATGATTGTAATCTGTAACTTGTAATCTCGGTGCTAGGAAAGCAGGACTTAAGCAAGCTGATGATTTCTATCTTACGAAATTCACTAGTGTCTCAATTAGGTTGAGTAAGGACGTAAAAATACTTGGATGTATGCAAGTTTTCTCTGGAATTACTATCAGTGTATTCAACAAAGGCATTATCTGATTATCTCTTGTTGGATGCTTTTCCTAATCATTTGATCGAAAGCTTTAATACCTGGAAAATAAATATTTCCCAGCTCTTGATCACTACTACGATTGTATTACAGGATAGAACAGCATATTTGTTCCTCTTTTTCCCATCACTGTTGCTGGTTTTAAGGTCATGGATTTGGGATGGATGTCTGCCTGCATTGCCAGTTCAACTTTATCAGGTACTACGTGTCAATAAATTCTCTTCCCAAGGCTTATTTTTTCTTTTTGATGGATGTTCATGCATTTTCTGTGAAAGTAGACCAAGTATCTATGTCTCTACTCAATTTATTTCTTCTAGGCGTGGTTGCTGTACCTCTACACTCGTTTGGCATTGAGAGAAAACATTCTGAGAGTTAATGGAAGTCACATATGGCCATGGTAAGTGAATATAATTTATAATTTTTTTTGCAAGAATTTGAAGTGCGAATCTTATTTGACTCTTAGGAAGTTATGCATTTTTTCTTCTCTAGCTGAGAACTTTTGGTGTGCTTTTGCATTTTTCCTAGGATTAGAAGACTGATTTTTTTGGGTCTCCTGCCTCGATGGTGGGAATTTGATGTAGAATGTATAAGCGTGTTAGTTTAAATATTGTTAGTAACTATCACTACCAAAATAAGGGTACATTATTATAAGCTCGAGCT